GCTGCATCGGTTGCTTGACCGATCTGCGGCCTGGCGCTGGGAGAGCCGCGAAGCGCATGCGTTCGCGGCTGTCAAAGAGACGCTGACGTCATCGGCTGTCCTGATTCAATATAATGACAGGATGCCATTGACGTTAGCATGTGACGCCTCCCCTTACGGTCTAGGGGCGGTCCTGAGCCATGTCCTCCCAAATGGCTCGGAGGCCCCTGTGGCCTTTTACTCCCGGACACTCTCCTTGGCGGAGTGCAACTACAGCCAGATCGACAAGGAGGCTCTGGCTGCAGTTTCCGGGATTAAGAGGTTCCACGACTACCTCTACGGTCGGCACCTTACCCTTGTCACTGACCATAAGCCTCTCCTTGGGCTTTTGGCAGGCGATAAGCCGACCCCCCCCCATCCTCTCCCCCCGCATGACACGTTGGACGGAATTCCTTGCAGCATATTCCTATACGCTGCAATACCGTCCTGGCAAGCAGCTAGGGCACGCTGATGCCCTTAGCCGCTGCCCCCTGCCGGAGACCGACCCCGCCCCCGTGCCTGCCCTCTCAGTTCTCTCTATCGCGTCTTCCGGCCTTCCAATTTCGGCCGCAGATGTCGCGGCCTATACTAAGGCCGATCCAGTTCTTGCCCAGGTCTGCTCCTGGGTATTGAGAGGATGGCCTACGGATAAGGTGGCTGATAGCTTCCGGCCCTTTAAAGCCCAGCAAGCAGAGCTCTCCCTTCACGGGGGGTGTCTCATTTGGGGGGATCGGGTCGTGATCCCTGCCACACTTCGGCCCCAAGTCCTGCCTTTGCTCCACAAGGACCATCCAGGCATAGTGCATATGAAGGCATTAGCCCACAGCTATGTCTGGTGGCCATTGCTGGATGCAGAAATAGCGGCCTACGTAGGCCGCTGCACCACTTGTCAACTCTCTAGGCCAAACCCACCAGCTGGGCCTGCTCGTGAGTGGGAGGCTCCGAGAGGCCCGTGGTCACGCCTCCACGTAGACTTCGCCGGCCCCTTCCACGGCCAAAACTTCTTGATAGTGGTGGATGCCTACTCTCGGTGGGTGGAACTGGTGCTAATGGCCTCCACCACAGCCGAGAGTACAGTCAGGGCCCTCCGCAGGTTGTTCGCAACCCATGGGTTGCCGGACATCCTCGTCTCAGACAACGGGCTGCAATTTACTGCCACTGCTTTCCAAGAGTTTTTGGCTGAGCAAGGGATCCGGCATGCGCCCACAGCCCCGTACCACCTGGCTAGCAACGGCCGGGCGGAGCGGGCGGTCCGCTCAGCTAAGGAGGCTCTGGGCCGCATGGACCGGGGCGACTGGCAGTCGAGGGTGGCGGCTTACTTGCTAAGCCAACACCCCACCCCCTGCCCGACGACCAACAAAAGCCCCGCGGAGCTCTTGATGGGCCGGCGCCTGCGGACCCCCCTGGATAGGCTCCATCCGTCCTATTCGGGGGATCAGCCATGAAACCTGGGGGTTCTCCCTTCCCGTTCCTTTAAACAGGGGGATTTAGTATGGGCCCGGTCATTCACAGGGGATCCTAAGTGGGTGTCAGCCGTAGTTAATGCCCTGACCGGCCCCTGTTCTTTCAGGGTCGGACTGGCCAATGGATCCGAATGGAGGCGCCACTTGGATCAATTGAGGAGGCGCCTCCCTATGGAGCCTACGAGCGCAGGACCAGACAACTCGGCCACTCCACAGCCTGAATCACATTCACAGGCCTTCACATATCCAGGCCTGACCTACCAAGCACTACCAGACAGTGACAATTCCATCGAGATTCCTCAATCCGACCAATTCCGGCAAGAGGCCTTCTCCAAATCAGGCCTGGCCTACCCGAGCGCCCCCTGTCGGGTAGCGCCACAGACTTCTTAAGCCGCCGCTGAGTGTTCGCCGCCTAGCACTCCGCCCCCTGTTGACTCTCCTCCGTTTCCCTACGCTACAGCTGTGGACGCGCCACCCCGGCCCAGCCTACCTTTGTCGGTGAGCCCGCCTTCTGGGCCGTTCCAAGATGGCGTCACTCGGAGCTACACTCCCTTCGGGGAGGAGCTACTACGAGCAGGTCCTACCCCTCCGACGACTGTTGGCGAAATGAGGAGATCAGGGCGGGTCCGGCGCCGCCCCGCCTATTTAAGCGACTACGCATGCTCCACTCGGGGAGCATGCGCAGATCTGGGGGGAAGGGGTGTTAAGTCTT